AGAGGATGCAGCCCAAGACGCAGGCGCTCACTTCTCTGCCCAGAGGGTCCCACACGGCCAGGTGAGGCTCAGACTGGCAGCTCAGGGCAGGGTGGGAGCCTCCTGGCGGGGGCCAGGGAAGGCTGCAGGAGAGGAATGGCTGGGCAAGGGGTCCAGGAAGAAGCCTCAGCCAGGCGAAGACGAGGAGGGGCAGGGGTAACAGAGCCAGAGAATGTCCCAAGTTTTCCATTTTCCACCATGGCTTCCAGTCCTATGAAATCAGACAAGGAGCCAGCCCACAGGCCTCCAAACCAGAGCCTTCCTGCCAAGGAGCAGGGCGCCACATCAACCCGTCTGCCTCACTCCACTCTGCAGGGTCTGAATTTTGTCTGTTTTCTTCTCAAAGGCCTGTTGATTTCTGGCCACTCTAATAGCAAGAGAAAATGCCTGGAAACTGGTCTCCAGAAGCCTGCAAGCTTTGATGGATAGGGGAACCAGAACATCACACCCAGGCAGATCCAAACAGAAGTGGCAGAACCCCAGAGAAGAGCATTTATCTAAGGGGCAGGGACCCAGCAGTCAGAGCTGGGCTGGATTCCAGCTCACCCACATAGCTGCCTCACAGCCAGATCAGTTCTCATCTCGGCCCTACATCCTCAGGGTGTGTGGTAAGCATGGCGGGCACAGAGAGGACAGTGTAGGCTACAGGAGATGGCTGGAATCCGCAGGCTTCCCCCAGCCTTCCCGCAACCCTCGATGCTCTTTTATGCTTATCTGCCTCAACAGGAAGTTGTAGAAAAGTGAGAACTGTTCATTATTTTTTTTCTACTCCTGATACCTACTGGTGTTAGGAATTGGAAGTGGTAGAGAGCATGGGATAGCTGCATGCTGCAAAGATGGACAGGACAGATGGCTGGACGGATGAATGATGGATAGGTGGGTGGATGGGTGGATGGATGGATGGATGGATGGATGGATGGATGGATGGATGGATTGGTGGATGGGTAGGTGAGTGGATAAATGAGTGGGTAGATGGATGGATTGGTGGGTGGGTGGGTAGATGGATGGATGGATGGATGGATGGATGGATGGATGGAT